AACACTTATTATCTGGTTTTGGGATTTGTTTTTTTTTTTTTTAAATAGCAGCCATCCTAATAATGGGTGTGAGTATTTCATTGTGGTTTTGTTTTGCATTTCCCTGATGATTGTGATGTTGAGCATCTTGTCCTATCTTGTATATCTTCTTAGGAGAAGTACCTATTCAAGTCTTTTGCATATTTTAATAAGATTGTTTATTTTTGTTGTTGCTGAGCTGTAGGAGTTCTTTATATTATTGATAATAACTCTTTTTCAGATGCATGATTTATAAATATTTTCTCCCATTCCATAGATGAGTTTTCACTGCATTGGTTGTGTCGTTTGATGCATGGAAGTTTTCATTTTGATGTAGTCCAGTTTATCTAATTTTACTTTTGTTGCCTGTGCTTTTGGAGTCATACCTAAGAAATCATTGCCAAGTCCAATGTCATGAAGCTTTTCCTCTGTGTTTTCCTTCAGGAGTTTTATAGCACTTACGTTTGGATACTCAATCCATTTGGACTAATTTTTGTTTATGATGTAAAGTAGGGGCCCCATTTCATTCTTTTACAGGTGGATATCCAGTTTTCCCAGCATTGTTTGTTGAAGACTGTCCTTTCTCCCCTGCATGGTCTTGACACCCTTGTCAAAAATCAAGGGACCGTATGTGCAAAGGTTTACTTCTGGGCTTTGTATTCTATGTCACTGTTCTATCTGTCTGATGTAAATACTGGTACTACACTGTTTTGACTATTTTAGCTTTTTCATAACTTTTAAAACCATGAAGTACGAAACCTCCAACTTTGTTCTTCTTTTTCAAGATTGTTTTGGCTATTCTGGGTCCCTTTGAGATGAATTTTAGGATGAATTTTTTTTTATTTCTGAAAAAGAGATGCCATTGGGATTTTTAAGAAGGATTGCATTAAATCCCTGTTAGGTCACTTTGGGTAGTATTGACATTCTAAAAATATTAAGTCTTCCAGTCTGTGAGAATGGGATGTCTTGCCATTTATTTGTGTCTTCGTTACTTTCTTCTAGCAGCATTTTAAAGTTTTCAATGTACAAGTCTTTTGCCTCTTTGGTTAAGTTTATTCCTAATATTTTATTCTTTTTGATACTACTGTAAGTGGAATTGTTCTCATAATTTACTTTTTGGATTGTTCATTATTAGTATATGGAAATGCCACTGATTTTTTATGCTGATTTTGTATCCTGCAACTTTACTGAATTCATTTATTAATACTAACAAGTTTTTTTTGTGTGTGGAATCTTTAGGGCTTTCTACATATATTAATAAAATCATGTTGTCTGAGAACAGAGATGACTTTACTTCTGGAATTTTTTTTTTGAGATGAGGTCTCACTCTGTCACCCAGTCTGGAGTGTAATGGTGCCATCATACCTCAGTACAGCCTCAACCTCCTGAGCTCAAGCAATCCTACCTCAGCCTCGAAAAGTGCTGGGATTACAGGTGGCCCCACTTCTGGAATATTGTAAATGGCTTTTTTCTTGCCTACTTGCTCTGGCTAGGACTTCCAGTACTACGCTAGACAAAAGTAGTAAGGGTAGTTGTCTTTGCCTTGTTCCTGGATTTAGAGGAAAAGCTTTTAGTCTTTTACCACCAAGTATGATATTAGCTGTTGGCTTTCATATACAGCCTTTATTATGTTGGGATAGTTTTCTTCTATTCCTAGTTTGTTGAGTGTTTTTTCATGAAAGAGTGTTAAATTTTAGGCCGGGTGTGTTGGCTCACGCCTGTAATCCTAGCACTCTGGGAGGCTGAGGCAGGTGGATTGCTCAAGGTCAGGAGTTCGAAACCAGCCTGAGAGAGACCCAGCCTCTACTAAAAAATAGAAAGAAACTAATTGACCAACTAAAAATATATATACAAAAAATAGGCCAGGCATGGTGGCGCATGCCTATAGTCCCAGCTACTCGGGAGGCTGAGGCAGCAGGATCGCTTGAGCCCAGGAGTTTGAGGTTGCTGTGAGCTAGGCTGACGCCATGGCACTCACTCTAGCCTGGGCAACAAAGTGAGACTCTGTCTCAAAAAAAAAAAAAAAAAAAGAGTGTTAAATTTTGTCAAATGATTTTTCTCCATCAATTGAAATGATCATGTGTTTTTTTCCCCCTTCATCCTGTTAATGTGGTGTATTACATTGATTGATTTTCATATGTTGAACCATTCTTACGTTCCAGGAATAAATCCGACTTGGTCATGGTGTATAATCCTTTTAATGAGCTGTTGAATTGTTTGCTAATATTTTGTTGAAGATTTTTGCATCAATATTCGTTAGGATATATATCGGTCTGCAGTTTTCTCGTAATGTCTTTGTCTGGTTTTAGCGTCAGGGTAATGCTGCTCTCTCACTTCACCGTTTGAGTCTCAGCTTCTTCACCTGTAATATTGGGGCGATAATAGAACTCCCCGTACGGGGCTATTGTGCAGATTAAATGAGGGAATGAACACAGCGCGCTTTGGCAGGGCCCAGTTCACGGAAGCTCTCAAAATATGTTAGCTGCTAATAATGATAAAAACAAAACGACAGTTATCTCATAGTGAGACAGCTCGGCGGGGTGGAGCTTATACTCTCAGCCTGCATTAGCAGCAGGGCTCCTGACCAACATCAGTGTCTGAAATGGTCAGAATGCGGGAGGCAGCGTGTAACTGGGCAATCAGGAACACACCCTTGGCCTGGTGTGGGGCCGAGGCTGGTCCCATTTTGTGGTGTCATTCAGAATGTCTTGCTTTGATTATTGCCCTTCTTCCTTCCTTCCTCCTTCCTTCCTTCCTTCCTTCCTTCCTTCCTTCCTTCCTTCCTTCCTTCTTCCTTCCTTCCTTCTTCCTTCTTTCCTCCTCCCTCCTCCTTCCTTCTCCTTCTTCCTTCTCTCCTTCCCTTTTTTGTCTTTCTTTTAAGAGACACAATGTCTCATTCTGTCATCCAGGCTGGAGTGCAGTGGCCTAATCATAGCTCACTGTGACCTCAAATTCCTGGGATCAATTGATCCTCCTCCCTCAGCCTCCTGAGTAGCTGGGACTGCAGCTGTGTGCCACCACTCACAGCTCATTTTTTTACTGTTTTGTAGAGACAGGGTCTCACTGTGTTACCCAGGCTGGTCTCAAACTCCTGGCCTCCACCTTGGCCTCCCAAAGTGCTGGGATTACAGGCGTGAGCCACTGAACTTTTCAAAAGGGGGCTTGGTATGACCAGGTTTCCGGAAAGGAAAGGGGCCCTAGCCAGTGTGTCTGTGAATTGGCAGGAGGGGACAGAAACTCCTCTGTCATTATACTTTAATAAGAAGATTGAGCAAAGTGCCGAAATACACAAAGCAAAAACTGATAGAGCTGCAAAGACAAATAGACAGGTCCACTGTGATAGTTTTTCAGTTTTTGCTTTGTGTATTTCGGCACTCTGTTAGGTGCATTGAGGATTGTTACGTCTTCTTGAAGGATTTTGGCCCCTTCATCATTATTTAATGCCTCTCTTTATCCCTGATAGTTTTCTCTGAAGTCTGCTTTGTCTGCAATTAACATAGCTACTCCAGCTTTTTTTGTGTTTTCATATTTTGGATGCCAAAGCACTTACTTGGTGGGGACTTGAAAAGTGATTAAGAGCACAGACATTTGAGTCAGGCAATCCTGGGAACAAACCAACCTTGTCAAGCTGGGGACTTTGGGGAAATTCAATCATTTTGTGCCTCAGTTTCTGCGTCTACAAAATGGGAAACTATCTCTGGATTGTTGTGAAGAGGAAATTTGAATGTTTAATTAATATGTTATATTATTACTCTATTATATAATACATATTAAAATATTCCATTATTAATATAAGCTATTGGTTATTATCACATTGTGAGACTTTAGATGTCTAAGCGAAAGTTCTTTTGCGTGAAAGCGGGATGGAGCCCTCTGAGGAGATAAACTTAGAAAGCAGTTGCAGAGTCTGAGGCTAGTGGGTGTCTGGCAGCCCATGCACTTAGAAGACAAAGACTTCAACATGCCCTGCAGCTTGCCGACAGGACATTTCCAGGGCCAGGGGAATGTGGTGTTACTTCCTTCTGCGGAGGAGCTTTGCCCAATCTTCTTATTAAAGTATAATGACAGAGGAGTTTCTGTCCCCTCCCGCCAATTCACAGACACACTGGCCCCTTTCCTTTCCGGAAACCTGGTCACACCAAGCCCCCTGTTGAAAAGTAAATCATCTTTGGTTAGACAAATTCTGAGTAGCTTTAAGAAGCAATAGAAATAAGTAGTTGCATGGGCAAATGTTCATTATTTATCTAGGTTTTTAAAAGGCAGTTGTAAAACTGCGTATGTACAGTATGATTAACTTTGTTTAAAATATTTTAGAAAGAATGTCAGCATAGAAAAAGGCCTGGGAGGATGGTGAAGCACAATGTTAACAATGACTACCCTTGGGGGATAGGATTATCAGCGATTGTAATGTCTGCTTTTCTCTATTTCTCACTTTCTGCAATTTAGGGAAAACGTGTTATTTTAAAAATGAGTATAGAACAGACAAGTCAATGAATTACAATAACTCCTTAACTATACATACCCTATTCCATGGACTTGGCACTTGTTGCCTGGCCTTTGTGGTTTGTGTTTGGGGCATTTCTGCTTCCTGTCCTGCCATTGAGTGACACTGTGTGGGGTCAGGGAAATGGAAATTGGCCAATTCCCTGGGTAGATGCCCAATAAGACTCCCCCAAGTTCTCTCTGCCTTTGTGCTGCCTGATTCTCCACCCTTGGAGTGGAGAATCCACTCCACCCAACACCTCGGGTACTCGTCCCCAGATCTGGTGTCAGACAGAGCACATATCCTGGCTCCCTCATGCACTAGCTGTGTATTCTTGGGCAAGTCACTTAACCTCTCTGATCCCTCAGCATCTTCCTTTTAAAATGAGGATCGTGGTGACATCAGCTTGGTGACACAGGTAAAGCACCTAGCACAGGGCACCCAGTGGGCACTTGTTAACTTGTTTCATGGCTACAGCTTCCCTCCCCCTCTGTTTCAGTCCCCTGACATCGACAACCACCACGCGCTCATTGAGTATAATGAGGCCGAGTGCAGCTTTGTTCTCCAGGACTTCAATTCCCGCAATGGCACGTTTGTCAACGAATGCCACATTCAGAATGTGGCCGTGAAGCTTATACCTGGAGACATCCTGAGGTTTGGCTCTGCAGGGCTGACTTATGAACTGGTCATCGAAAACCCGCCCCAGGTGAGTCCGGGCCACTGCGGGGTAAAGGGGTGGTGTCGCCTTCGGTGCAGCCCAGCGCTCAAATACAGCAGAGCGGCGTGGCTGTGATTTCACGCTGTGCACACGAATGGCAGCTGCACGGTTCAACCCTGGAAGTTCAGACCGTCCGTCCGGGCAGGTCCCGGGGAGGAGGGTCTTGGCGCCCTCTCCTGGGCGTTTTGTGGAGTTACATGCAGGGGTTGCACAGTGGCTGACGGCTGAAACCGTGCAGCTTGGTGCCAGGAGGGGCAAGCGGGCGTGTGCCAGAGAGGGACAGAGACAAACGTTCCTTTTAGGCAGATCAGCACTCTGCTGCTTCCTACCCTGACCTGGGCCAGGGTTCTTTGCACGTCTGGGTCTCTTCCTTCTCGACGGTGCATGGCGCTGAAAGAATGTCTGTAAAGCCTGAAACTCGAGGTGTAAGTAGAGGCTCAACGCACGATAGCCTGAAAAATCCACCTCTGTGAAGTTTGGGCCTGTCTCCCTAATATGTCTGATTACAAGAATCTGGGAGGAATGTTCAATAAAATTACAGGTTCCCCGGCCCCCTCCCCAGGAAATTCTGAATTTGTGCCTTGCCAGTGGGGGAGGGGGAGGACACACAACGAATATCTGTATTTTTCTTTGTTTCACACAAAGATATTTATGGAAGTATTTTTATAGTGCCATAAAATTTGAAACCTAAGTGCCCATCAGAAGAGACCATGTTTAATAAAATATAAGGGTTCACTCTTATCTGGAATACTGCACTACTTCTTAAAAACACAGCTTTATTGAGGTATAAACGATACACAATAAAACCGCACATGTTTAAAGTGCATAGTCGGATAGATTTGGCCATATGAATGCGCCCGTAAAACCGTCACTACACGCAAGACGCGGGCATGGCCTCCACTCCCACGAGTCTTCCTCATGAACGTGACATTTGTTTGCCTGCTTGCTTTAAACAGCTTTATTGAAGTACGATTTATATAACATAAACTTTACCCATTTTAAGTGTATGAGTCAATAAATTTTGAAGAGTTGTGCAGCCATTACCATAATCTACTTTCGGAACATTTCTATCACTCCACTCACAAAAGAAACCTCTGAGATACTTCAGTTGTTTGTTTTTAACTTTTTATTATGTTTTTAAGTTTTCTTTCTTTCTTTCTTTCTTTCTTTCTTTCTTTCTTTCTTTCTTTTCTTTTCTTTTCTTTTCTTTTCTTTTCTTTTCTTTTCTTTTTCCTTTGTTTTTGAGACAGTCTCACTGTGTTGCCCTGGCTAGAGTGCCGTGGCATCATTATAGCTCACTGCAACCTCAAACTCCTGGGTTCAAGCAATCCTGCCTCAGCCTCCCGAGTAGCTGGGACTACAGGCACACGCCACCACACCCAGATAATTTTTTCTCTTTTTGTTAGAGATGGGGTCTCACTCTTGCTCAGGCTGGTCTCAAACTCCTGACCTCAAGCGATCCTCCCACCTTGGCCTCCCAGAGTGCTGGGATTATTAAGTATGGTGGCGTGAGCCACCATACTTCGCCTTTTTTATTTTTTAGATTGTGCTAAAATACACATAACATAAAATTTATCATCTTGCTCATTTTTAAGTGTACAATTCAGTGGCTTTAAGTGCATTCACGTTGTTGTGCGACCATCACCATCATCCATCCGTAGAACTCTTTTCATTTTGCAAAACTGAAACTCTTTTCATTTTGCAAAGCTGAAACTGTACCCATTGAACAAGGACTCCCTGTTCTTTCCTCAACCCAGCAGCCCCTAACAACTGTCGTTCCACTTTCTGCCTCTGAATTTGACTATGCTAGGCACTTTGTGTAAGTGAAATCATACAATATTTGTCAGAATTTTCTTCCTTTTTAAGGCTGGATAATATTCCATTGCATGGATAGAGCACGCTTTGTTATCTATACATCCGTTGATGGACACTTGGGTTGCTTCCTGCTCATGGCTCATGGCTATTGGGAATAAAGCAGCTATAAACTTAAGTGTGCAAATGTGAAGAGGGGACTTTGTTTTAATCACACATGTATGGCAAACAGTGGTAAAGATCTCTCCCTCTGGCTAGTGAAGGTGCAAGAGGACACTGCCTAAGACAATGAAACCTGTAGAGTTATTACAATGGGATTGTGATGTTAGCGGGAAGAACCACTAACAAGCAAATTACTTGCTTTCTCTTATTTAATGTTACAACAGCCCAGGACAGCGCTCTATCACGATCTCTATTTTATAGATAAGGAACCTAAAGCTCAGAGGGGTTAAGTAACTTGCACTGCGTCACACAGCTGGTCAGTGCAAATTAAACTCTGTCTCTACTTGCAGATAACAGCAAGGGGAAAACTATTTAGTCTCATGCTAGCTGGAGCAGTCTCATCAACTGGTTTTCAAATATAGCAAAACGAACTTTTACAGTCACTTAGCCGTACTTGAATTTTTTTAATTCTTATTTCCACATGCAGTTGCGTGGGGCTTCGTTGCCCAGGGGACGGCCGGCAGCCGGGCAGGTGCTCCGCTGGCCAGTGCCCCGGGCACGTCACGGCAGCCCGAGCCTGTCTCTGCCGGGCTTTCCTCGGGAGACCCCCATCCCCACCCCACCCTCGGGGAAGTGCTCCCTGCTCCCTCTCAGACCATCCGGGGCGCCCTCTGAGCTCCCGCTGATGAAGGGAGGGAGTCCTTTGCAGGCCCGAGCTAGGGCAGCCCTGTGGATCCTTATGGATTGCTATGGATCTGCATTCCTATGGATTCACTTTCCATTTGCCTCATGAACTCTACCTGTGGACTATTAAAAAAAAAAAAAGGGAGGTATTGAACAGTGTCTCTTATCAAATCTCATCTCATTTTGGGGGCCCCATTTTTCTAAGAATTTTGTGGCCATCTCGATCCCTGCTTGCTCTTGTTTCTGATTGATTTTGAGGCCCCCGGAGGAGCTGTGTTTCCCCCGGGGTAGAGTTTCCAAGGACCGGTTCCTTTCAGGGCAGATGGTCCGAACAGCTACAGAGTTAACTGTTCATTTCCCAACAAAGAGTTCGTAAATGGACACATTTATGTCAGGCCCCATGGTGGCCGTGACAGATAGAGAGGGATGTGACCGCCGTTTTATGAGCAAGTGGGGAGTGGGCGCAGAAGCTAGGGACCCGTGTGCGTGCGGGTGTCACAGTGGAGCGTGTGGCCTCCTGAAGTTCAAGTCGGGCTGCCCAGTGTGGTTCCAGCCCTGCTCTTTCCCAGCCGTGGGCTCGTGCACGAGTTGCTTCACCTGTCAAAGCCTCGGTTCCCATTTCTGTGAAATTGGGACCATAATAGTTCCTGCCGTGTGGGCTGACTGTGGCATCAGACGGGCGCTGTGTGTCGGTTGCTCCACCAGCACCTGGCACCTGTGATAGGCGCTCATCGCTCAGCTTTGGAGCCAAGCAGAGAGCACGCGAGCGGCCACCACCGCCCCCGTGAGCATGCCCACGGACGGGGGACCTCGCAGGACCTCCCCCCAGCGGCCAGGTGGACACAAATCACCCACAGTGACAAACAAGGTGGAAAAACACAAAGACAACCTCTTGGTTGACAAAGTGAGAACACTGACACCCAGGCCACTCCCAGGACTGCATGCTGTAAGTCATACCTCTTTTGCCAAAGGCCACCGTTGCTGCACAACTCCAGGGTCCCCACCTGTGGCACAGGCCACACAGATGGTGCCCCCTGCAGTTGTGCAGGCATCGCTTGCAGGGCTATTTGCAATGCCCTGAAGCAACCACTAAGTAATTACATAGAGTCTCTGCCTAAGTGTCGGGCGTGTGATATCAAAGGCACAAAGTCAGGTGTGCCTGCCATATTGTGCCTGCCATTATGATTTTTGTTTGTTGATTTTTTTTTGATTTTTTTTTTAGTGCCTATGATTTCTGTGAACATAGGCTGTTCTATTAACAGTGGTGGTATTCTCATAAAGCAGCTGGGTAAGGAAACCTGCTTTCGCCTGCTCTGTCCTGCTCCCATTCCAGCCAGAGACTCCCATGTGGCTTCTGGACATGGTCCTCTGTCCCTCTTGCAACCCCATGACACCCTGCGTGGCATAAGGAGCTTCCTCTCTGAGCCCGTACGCCTTGCTGCTCGCTGCGTTAACTCTGTGTGTCATATGGTTTCTGTCTGCTCAGCTCTGCTGTTGGAATGCAGTGAAGAACACAAAGGCTTTGAACTAGGATAGACCCAAGTTCAAGTTCAAATTCCAACTGCCACTTACTTAACCTTTCTGAGCTTCAGTTTCCAATTTCTGCCAAGCAGGTGCACACTAATCACAGGCTCCTTCTCCCCCTAAAGAATTTTCACGGAGGCCGTTGGGACCACCCCATCACTGTGTAAACTGATGCTCAAAGAAGCTCTGAGACTTTCCCAAGGGTACACATCAGTTTCCCAAGGTTACACGTCCCAGAACCAGAATTAAAGGCCAGTCCTGAGGCCTAATCTAAGAGGCTTCTCCTAACAGCCCAGAGCACCCTGACGACCTAGGAGGACCTAATGGGGGACGATATGCCAGGTGGGTAAAAACGAAAGCCACCCATGAGGCCAGAAGATGCAATTTCAGTTATGAGCTTCTGCATTTGCCTCCACGGACCTTTTACCAGGGAGGTTGTTGCATCCCTGGACTAATCCAACTGCTTCCTTTTGGTTTCTTTTTTGATGACTATGATTATAAATGCCTGGTGGCTACCGTTTAATGAGCATTTACTATGTGCCAGCTTGCATTCTAGGTACATTATAGGTATTGTTCCATTTGGCTCTCACACAGTTAAGAAATAACTGTTATTATACCTATTTTAAAGATGAGGCATAAAAAGTAACACATTTGTCAGGGTCACCTATGGTAAGAGGCAGAGGAAGGAGCTGGACCAATCCCATAGAATGCTGGATCCCACGCTCTCAACCAGAGGTGGGCAAACCACAGCCCAAGGGCCAAACCTAGACCATCACCCGTATTTCTAAATTAAAGTTTTATTGAAA